CTGGCAGCCTGGGCTCGGCCTGGCCGTCGCGCCGTCGGCCCCCGGACACTCGCCCTGGCAGGAGCTTCCTCGCCGATGCCCCGGGCTCCACCTCGGTTCCTGAGACGGGCGACGTCCCCTCGGCTGCTGGGTGCCCGTTTCTCCCCATAACTCTGTCCGCTCTTATCGTACACATTTTGGGGTGATGTGCGGAGTGCGCGAGCTCCGGGATTCCGGCTCACCGTTCGATTGTCCCTTTTTATCACGAAGTGACGAACCTCTTTCCGACAGGGTGCAGCTCCGTGTCGAGTTCGGCTCTCGAGGCGGCCACAGCGCCGACCCCTGAGCTGCAGACTCGCCCGCCAGCGCCAGGCCCACCCGCCAGGAGAGACGTGCGGAACACGGAGTTGGGAGAGGCGCACGGTCGGCCCTCTGCAGGCGAGGACGCTGTGTGCCCCGAGCGTGTGACGTCCGCCTGCGAGCGGGCACGTTCACTTTCCCTGACACTAGCCTGGTGCATCCTTCTCCATCGCTCCGCTTTCGATATTTTGGGGACCTGATGTCTCAGGCGTGCCCAGCACATCCCCGTTTAAGAGCGTGTCCCAAAGCTGTTCTCGTCTGCGGCCACGCCACCCTGAACACGCCCGATCCCGTCTGATCTCGGAAGCTGAGCAGGGTCGGGCCTGGTTAGTACTTGGATGGGAGACCACCCGGGAAGATCAGGTGCTATAGGCCTAAAAAATAAGGGATTATAAACTACAAGGTCCTTGCAATCTGTGAGGTCAACCAAGGGTTCCCTCGCCTAAAAAACAAATTAATTGATTTAATTAAATAAGTAAAATAAAAATAAACAAAGCTGTTCTCATCCACAATGGGCAATGACAGCAGCTCGAGGAGCTGGCCGAGCAGAGGATGGGGCCCAGCAAACAAGGGACGCTGTCCCCACCTGGGAGTACATGAAGTTGCCCCCGTTCTGCCGAACGTGCTACCTCACTAATGGCGGAGGGAAAGTTTGCACGTGCACACAGCGTGTTGGCAGCGTCTACACTTCGGAAGAGTCAGATGCTGTGTCGGGCCAAGTCATGGCGGCGGTGAGTGTGGAAACCCGCCCCTCCCCCAGCGTGTGCGGCCCCACACCCACAGG